GGCAAATCTGCTTTAAAAGACCTTATTAAGTTATTAAAGTAATAATCTGAGATTAAAGACTGAAGTGCACTTGATTCAAGCCATGATATTTTCAGTTATTTTGCATGCATCTGAAAGTTAGACAATTAATAAGGAAAACTGAAGAATCAATGCTTTTGAATTATGCTGTTGATGAAGAAAATTAATATTCCATGGACTGTCAAAGGATAAACAAACCTGTCTTGGAGGAAGTGTAACCAAGTTGCTCCTTAGAGGTAAGGATGATGAAACTTTATCTCATACACTTTAGGCATATTGTTAGGAGAGCCCAGTGCTTAGAAAAAGATATCATATAAGGAAAGATAGAATCAGAGAAAGAGAGAAATCTCCTCAGCAAGGTGGATTGACACATGGCTGCAATAATTGGCTTGAGCATGGCAGAGATCATGAGAGTGGTGCAGGTTAGGGAATGGTTTCAGTCTTTTCATAAGCTATATCAAAGTTTACTTGACAGCATCTAATAGCACCACCACTCAAAAAAGAAAAATTAATATGGAAGCTCATTTAAATAATTTCGATCGCAAATTACTTTTACATTGCTAGGTCTATATATTTAATGATGTTAGTTTGATGACTCAAATGGAGGCCATAGTCTTTTCAATCACTTATTAGGTCCTGACAGCTGGGCAAAGAATAAGGAAGGCAGAAGAACAATGCCTTTGAATTGATGTTGGATAAATGTATTGATATCCATGGACTGCTAAGAGATCAAACAGATATGTCTTAGAAAAGGCACAGCCAGAGCGTACCTTGGAGGTAAAGATGCTAAAACTTCACATTTTATACCTTTGACATGTTGCTAGGATAGGCTGCTCCTTAGAGAAAGACATCTTGCTTGGACAAGTATAGGGATGGTGAAAGAGCAGAAGACCCTCAACCAGATGTATTGACGCAGTGACAGCCACAATGAGTGCTAGTGTTTCAGAAAGTATAAGGAAGGCACAATATAGGAGATGGCTCAGACATGTTGTTCTTAGTGTCATTATAAGTAGTACTTGACTTGAAGGAGTCTAACAACAACATCAACAGGTACACACAAACTTTGTCAAATCAATTAAGAGTGTCACTGTTGTTGTTGGGTGCTGCTGAGCACCAAACTAGTATGTGGAAGAATTAAAATAATGGCTATTGAGAATCCTATCCTTAGAAAGATCTTCTTGTAAAGATGACCCTCATCTGATGTCTAGGACTTTTATTGAAATAGACCTAGCTATCTATGGAATTCAAAGCTATAAAATGGGGAAATGAGCTATAAAATGAGGAAATGATAATTTCTTCAACAAATGTTGCTTGCAAAATTGGACTTCCACCTGCAGAAAGCTGAAACAGGATCCACATCTCCCACTATAAACAAAAAAAATCAACTCAAGGTGGAGTAAAACCCCAAACTGTAACATTCCTAAGAGACAAACTGGCATGAAGCTTAGACGTGCTAGTCCAAGGTATAAATACAACAGGGAAGGCACAATCTGAAGAGGATAAAATTGATGCATGGGACCTTCTAAAGATGAAATCCATGTGTGCATCAAAAATGTTTTCCAACAGGGTGAAAAGAAAACTTATCAACTAGGAACAAAAATTTGGTAATGCCATCTCAGAACACTCTTTATAGAACACTCTTGAATTCTGTCTAATCCTGAGCCAATCTCACTCTCTCCTACACACCTGCCCCTATTACATTCGTCACTGTGTCAATCCATCTCATCCAGGGTCTTTCTCTCCTGTGTTGTTCCTCCACCTTTCCAAGCATGATGCTCTTCTCTGAAGACTGATCCCTCTTGGCAACATGCCCAAAGTATGTGAGATGGAGCTTCAAAATTCTTGCCTCCAGAGAGCAAATTGGTTTTACCCTCCCCAGGATAGACCTATTTTTCTCTTGGCAATTACCATGGACTGCTAAGACAACAATTAATTTTATCCTGGAGAATGTTAAATCAGGCTGCTCCTTGGAGGCAATGATTCTGAAGTTTTGTCTGACATACTATGGACATGTTGCAAGGAGAGACCAGTCCTTGGAGTGGGATGTCTTGCTTGGGAAGGTGAAGGGACAGCACAGGAGAGGAAGACCCTCGATGAGATAGATTGATTCATTTACTGGGGTAATGGGTATAGGTGTGTCAGAGACAATAAGGTTAGCACAGGATAGAGCAGGGTTTAGTGGTGTTGTACATAAGTTCACTATGAGTCTCAGGCAACTCCACAACACATAATAATGACAACAGTTTATGGTATTTTCAATACTCTTCTACAGCACCACAACTCAAAGCCATCAAGTCTTCTGTCATACTTATGCACTGTCTGACTCTCTGATGCATAGAAAGTAATTACGAGCTCTGCTGGTCTAGTGGAAGAAGCTATGCTGCATTTCTGCACTTCTTTGTAGAAGGATGAACAATCTTCTCCAGTGCAGTTTCCTGCTTCTGAAAACTCACTAGAGGATCAGCTATGGGTCGGTTCTGACCCACGGTACAAAACAACTTCACAACATATGTTCCGTAATTGGCCCAGATTAAAAACTTGTACATTAATTCTCTAATGAGTTTTCCTAATAGATAACATTTAAAATATGTTGCCACAGGTTTCAACTTGTTGCTGGAGGGTTTAAGAACATCTTGTAATATCACACTGGGAAAGGTCTCTTGGATGCATATACTTAGTTTCTTCTGTACTTATAATAAATCTTAGTTCTGAGTATAAGTATATACTGAGTCCTGTGCATCCTTCTTGACAATCTACAGGTTCATCTTGTATACAACCAACGTAAAAGAGTTCACTGAAATGTCTGCAGCAAGATATATAAAATCAAAATAATGATTTTTATTTGATATATGCTATCATGTTAGATGAAGAAGCAATTGACAATGTTAACAATTTCATCTTGCTCAGATCTATAATTAACACTCTTGGCACCAGAAGTCAGGGAATAAAAGAAATTTTTTAAAAAAAGCATTTCATTGGGAAAGTCTACTGTCAGGGACCTCTCCAGAATGCGGAAGGGCAACAATGTCAGTCTGGAGACTAAAATGCACTGATCCAAGTCATGGTATTCACAAGTACTTGCTACTTGCTATACATGAGAGAGCTGGACAATGAGTAAAGATATCTGAAGAAAACTGATACCTTTGAGTTGTGATGCTGGAGAAGAGTATCTTCCAAGAGAACGAACAGGTCTATCCTAGAAAATGTGAAGCCACGTTGCTTCTTGAAGGCATGGATTCTAAACTCTGTCTCACACGTGGACATGTTGCCAGAAGTGACCAGTCCTTGGAAAAGGATATTGTAGTGTTAGATTAAAAATTAGCTTTTTTTAATCATTACATGAGCCCATGCTGGTCTCCAGCTACCTTAACTGTATATACATGGTCTTGCAAACAATCAACAGCTGTGGGAATAATATAAGAGAGAAAGTGCTTTGCACACTGTAGAGTGGGGCCCCAGGGATGAAAGTGGTGGAGAAATTGTAAAAAAGGCTGTAGCATTGCTATGCTGAGACTGTAGCAAGGTGTAATTTATGGCTCTTGCATCTGTACTAGCTCCAGTTAAAGGTTTTTCTTGTTGAATGATTGAAAGAGAAGCTGTCTTACAACTCTTCTGAGGCAAACCTTGCTGAATGAGTAAGGGAACCAGAGGATTCTTGAATTTGTGTTGCTGAACTGAAACCAGGACTTTTAACAATTGAGTTATGTTTTGCTGCTAATCTGACTTGGAACTGCTGGACTGAACCTATTTTTTTAAATAAACTCCACTCTCTGTACTACAACTTTAGTAAAGTCTGTGAGTGAGTCAACAACGAATATTGAACCCAATGATTGGTGGAAATAGGTGCAGGAGCTTGGAGGTGGCATGCTTGACCTAATAGCTATTTGTATGCTTCTATGCATATTACTGATGGGAACAGCTCCCTTTTATGAAGTGGATACATGTCAGATTCGGCCATCCCCACATTGCATCTGCTCTTTGTCCCAGACATCATTCTTGGAAGAGTGGAGGGTTAGTGCAGAAAAGGAAGACCCTGGATGAGATGGATTGACACAATGACTGGGATAATAGGACAGTTATTTCAGAGACAGTGAGATTGGCTCAGGATAGAGAAGAATTCACAGGTACTAGCCGTAGGTTTGCAATGAATTGCTCTCAAGTCAATGACATATAACAACATGATGTAATAAAATTGTTCTAAGGATACCCAGCCTAGTCAGCTAGTCTAAAATACTCACGATATGGTGATTATGTCTGACAACACAAGTGTATGAAAAATATGTCATTAACAGAGCCAAAGTAGAACAGAGAAAATAAAATAAGCTTATTTTTGTAGGTGATTTGGTAGACACCATATTATTATCAGATTTTTGAAACTAAACACATGCAAGTTCTCTTAAATAATAAATATATCTGACAAGTCAAGATAAGCAAAGAAGACTTTGGAGTTTGGGAAGATAAAGGAAATTATGCAAATGATGGATGATATAGCCAAAGAAGTAAAGGTTAGGGACTACAGAATTAATAAAGTATAACTCAAATATTATAATTTTAAAATAGAATTTTCAAATGTTGTTGCCTAAAATTCTATTACTCTGAATCTTTCATATGCAAATGTATCTTGATCGCATGCAAATTTCATGTATTATTATAAAATGTACATCCA